CTGAAAATCATCAAAAACTCACATGTAACAATACCGTGAAATTTGGGTCATGAGTATGAAGACAATATTTTGTGGTCTAAAAACTTCAATAACTTTTGCAATTCTGCTGGAGAGGACTCGATTTTTGGTTCATTCAAAAGCTGAACTATTCTCCTTCACACTTCATAATGTTAGTAAGGTGCTATCTAGTCATTTAAACACTCTACATATGTTCAAACAGTTCTGCATGAAGTGCTCTGTAGGATCTTTTTTAGACCAGCTACAGATGTGATGTCTCAATGAAAAATGTAGAGGAAAGGCTCACCTTTTTAATTCACTTCAAATCGAGTGATTTAATTCAGAACTGCAAAAGTTATTGATGTTTGAAGATTCCAAAATCCTGTCTTCAAAGTCAAGGGCCAAATTTCAGGTATTGTTACAGGTGGGTTTTTGATGATTCTCAGCCTTTATTGTTAGTACATTAACCAATATCTGTGTGTAAAATACAAAAAAATACTCGTCATGACGCCACAACATCTAGGAACAAGGTGCATATTTTTTCAGATTTTTAGCTCTCTTCCTGTTGCCTCAGGACTTTTCTATGTCAGTAGTTTTCTTTACCGCCCGGTAAAGATGACATTTTGTGTAGTGGAATGAGCTTGAATAGCTTGTTTGCGTTGTTCATAATTTTCATCCGCCTTTTCACGTGCTTCAGATGTGTTGATCTTGAGTACAGACTTGCTTGGCGATTGAGCCCTAAAGCCAATTGATTTTAAAAAAGAGCCTGATGGCCGTCGCTTTTTGACTATAACGTCGCTGTGTGAATCGAAGGAATCTTCTTTGATGCTATCGGTAGACTCGCGGCGATGCTTTTGGGATTGGGTGACTTTTGGTTGATCTGCATTTTGGATGGCCGCCATCAGGTTATCGCGTTGTAGAGGGGCTGGTAGGTTGAATGAATCATCATTGGTATCAGATGGGTCAAAGAGGTCACTAAAATCTGGGTTGTCGATGTTTTGTTCCACATCTAAGACGTCTTGATTGGCCGTATGGAGCTGGAAAGCATCGCGGATATCATTCTCGTTTACGTTGTCCACGAGGTCTATCTCATCAAAGGGCATGGCTGATGGTCGATCACCCATGATTTGGTCCAGTTCGTAGAATGATGGGCATATCCCCTCGATTTGGTCTATATATACAAGATGTGAGCCACAGTATCGGTTCAAATTCAACAAGATATACATACCGGAGAATGATTTCTCTCCTGAGATTCCAATTAGTCCCCCGCCAGTTTGCTTGGTCCTCTCTAGAGCTTCTCGATACCTATCCTCTAACGAGTGCATCTAAATTTTGAAACTACATTAGTATACACGTTTCGCTACTTCCAATACGATAGTGACAAACTTGTTGAACCACTGAATTTCCATCGCGCCCAAAGATTCCATTTTGAATCAAGAATTGCGAGATATCTTCGGCTATCACATTCTTCTTGGAACCCTTTTCGCGCCATCTGTTGTAATTACCGGGGATGAGGACCCATTGGATTAAGATATCGCTAGCCGATTCGCCATTCAAATTCTTATGTCTTGCCCAGTGGCGGTGAAAATCGTCTTTTGAGTTGGTCGGCGTGCAATTAGGAGATTTTAACGTGGCGGTATCCTGCACTGCTGAATTGGTCTTATTGGCCTTTGGCTTGCGTCCTCTTTTACCTTTGACTAGGACAGGTGATGGGGACGTATAAGTTGTTGGCTGAGTATTCATGCTACCGGGCTGGTTAGGCGGTGGTTGATTGGGGTAATGAGGCTGATCTTGGACGGCAGAATTTCCGTGGGCAATTGCTGATGCAGGGGGAGTGCTGATGTGATGACTTTGAGGGAATCCTCCAAAATTTCCATCTGAAGATCCGTGGAAAATAAAGGGCGTTTGCGGCATTGGACCAGACATGTGATCAAACGGTTCAAACCCGTGATCAAATTGGGGAAAATGTTGTGGTGGTCCAGTTTGGTGGTCATGAGAGGGAGGATCGGGGTTGTAGCCATAAATTGGAGGTAGAGGTTCTGATGGAAAGCATCTCTCAGGGGATGGTACGTAATAGTTCATTAGAGCTCTTTAGCGTTGAGACTTGGAAGAGATGGCCATCTATGGAAGTACTTACAAACACGGCCTCAAGAGACCTGTCCCAACGCGCTTTACCCTGCCCCAGTGTTCTGTGTAGATGTTGATTTATTAAGGATGGGGGCATCAGCCCTTTTTTGTTTCTTCACAAATGGTGAAGCCCGAGGGAGGCCACCCTCCAAATACATACAAAGTTGAAACTGTAAATACACAGTTGAAACTGTATCACATGTATTTAATTACACGGTTCAAAATTTTTATTTTGAAAACTTCAACTTTTCCTAGTTTGACACCACCTATTATCCAGCAATTCTGATCTATTGAATGTGATGATGATTCTCATGCGCGGACAAAGTAAACCCGACCGCTCGCCTGCAGATTAATGGTTTGATGTGAATCGGATCTACTTGATCCGAAGTCTGAGCTGCAGATAGTTGCTTATGTCAACTTTTCTCGATGATGATGGCGATGGCGATGATGGTTGTTTGATTGATTTTACCCCAACGGATTAATTTGATTTGATGACGTAGAGTGTATGTAGTAAAGTACGCTAAGGTGATTTTGTTGATTGAGTTTCTGACTTAAATTCTTGAATTTGATAGTTTTGATTGGCTGTTTGAATGAAATCTGTGAATCGAGTTTGGTTGAAATCAGTTTTGCTCCTTTTAAACTTTAAACTTGATCGCAAATCACTAAAAATTCAAACTTAAAAACCCATTTGGTCTTCAATCGATCAATCCATCATCATCATCTCGATTCTCGATCAAATCATCATCAATTTGGTTTTCTAATCTTCAAGTGAATCTTACTCTTACTAGATTCTCATCAGTCTTGACTCTTACCAAGGTCAAAGTACTGATTCTGTAGTCAACTTACAAAACCAACCGAACAGCAAACGATTAGAATCAAGGAATTCATTTGAGAAAGTATTGGAACTTATAAATGATTTACAGTTTTTTGGATCAGATTCATCAACTTTGATTTGAAGATTTGATCAGTTGATCAACTCTCCTTTCTTTTAGACTTGGTGTTTTGTTATCTTTGATCCTTATTTCCTGTTTACCATCTTGGTTAAAACTTAAAAACTTCTTGTATTTCCGATTCTCTATCAATCAATTCACCCAAACTCAACTTGACCACTTACTAGAATATATATATCTATAGATTTAATCCGTCCATCCATCCATTCTTCCCCTTTCTTCGTCCACCACTTCAAAAAACCATTAAACTTTTATCGTTTTCTTTCTTTTGTTGATTTCATTTTTCCTTCTTCGATTACTTACCTCTCATCATCATGCCTGCCATCTTAGACGCTCGACTTTCACTAAGCAGTTCAGTTAAATCTGCTCCTGCTGTTGCCGCTCAACGTCTTCGTCAGCGTGCTCGAAACAATCTACCGGATTATGATCCTGAGAGCGATCTAAGTGACTCGGATGAAGGTTTGGTAGGAATCAAGGAATCCAAGAACACTTGGGAAGACGATGAAGAGACTGCAGTGGATGATGATAGTCAGTAATGCTTCTTTCTACTTACTCATTCGATCATTCTTTAATCTCACATCTTTTCATTTCATCAGGTTATGTTCAAAAGACATTGAGACGAGAGAAGCCATTACCGCCCATCACTTGGCGCAACTTTTTTCGAGAGATCAATTACATCTCTACTATCGCTCTCACCCTAGTTCCTGTCTTGGCTATCTATGGTGCCATCACCACCCCTCTTAGTCGTCCTACTCTGATTTGGTCGATCATTTACTATTACTACACCGGTCTCGGTATCACTGCCGGTTATCATCGACTCTGGGCTCATCGTGCCTATAACGCATCTTTACCACTTCAATATTTCCTAGCTCTTGGTGGTTCTGGCGCCTTTGAAGGTTCGATTCGATGGTGGGCTAGAGGTCATCGAGCTCATCATCGTTACACGGATACCGATCTCGATCCTTATTCGGCTCATAAAGGACTCCTCTGGTCTCATGTGGGTTGGATGGTTGTCAAGCCTCGTCGAAAGCCTGGTGTGGCAGATGTATCAGATTTGAGTAGGAATGAAGTCGTCAGATGGCAACATCGTTGGTATCTACCTTTGATCTTTGGAATGGGATTTGCCTTTCCAACTCTCATTGCCGGTTTAGGATGGGGTGATTGGAGAGGAGGTTTCTTCTATGCTGGTGCTGCTAGGTTGTTGTTTGTACATCATTCAACCTTTTGTGTGAATTCCCTCGCACATTGGCTTGGTGAATCTCCCTTTGATGATAAGCACTCCCCACGTGATCATATCATCACTGCCTTTGTCACTATCGGTGAAGGGTACCATAACTTGTCAGTCATCTCGATCACTTTTCGACACTTGATATTTGGAAATCATTTCCTGACTAATCTTTTGTTTTTCTTCGCATTTAGTCATCACGAGTTTCCTCAAGACTTTAGAAACGCCATCAAATGGTACCAATACGATCCCACCAAATGGTTTATCGCCTTGGCTTACTACCTCGGTTTCGCCTCTGAACTCAAGACGTTTCCCGATAATGAGATTCGAAAAGGTCAATACAACATGAAGCTCAAGGAACTTCGAAAAGACTTCCGTGATGTGACATGGCCCACGAATTCCAACGATTTACCGATCCTCACTTGGGAACAATATGTCGAGGAGGCTAACAAGAAGGAAGATCGTAGTCTGATTGTAGTTGGAGGTTTTATTCATGATGTCACTGAGTTTATGGATGAACATCCTGGTGGACGAGCTTTGATCAAGACTAGATTGGGCAAAGATGCCACCACGGCCTTCCATGGTGGTCTCTATGGTACGAGTCCAGCTTTTTGTAGATTTCTTACTGTGATTTTGCGATGGATCTTGACTGTCTTGTTTTGCTTTGTAATAGATCATTCGAATGCGGCCCATAATTTATTGGCCATGTTACGAGTAGGAGTGATCGAAGGTGGTTATGAAGTTGAACATCTTAAAAAGAAAGTAGGAGTCTTTAGTGAGGATCAACAAATTCCAATCTGTGGACCAAAGAAACTTGAAACCACTTCGACTCCTGTTAGTCCACCTGCAGGACTAGCACCTGAGATTGTTGCCTAGATCATCATGACTTTTCTTTTGGTCTTTGTTTTTGTTTGTTTGTTTGGTTCCATAAAATCAGAAAAAAAAACTCGTTGCTCAGATAGTGATTTTTTTTTGGTTGTCTTTTCAAGAAAAATGTTAGATTGTTTTATAAGTTTGATATATAAATTGACTACGTTTTCTCTCTACTTTACATTTTTTTATTCACATTTTGGTTTTTTGATTGAATTGTTTTGAGACGAAAAAAGAAAATGATTTATTTCAATTTAACCTTGTTTTACGTTTGCTTTTGGTATTGTTTTGAAGATAGTGAGATACAAGTAGCTCGCATGTCCCTTGAATTAAGCTCTCGGACTTCAGTCAAGGTTACTTGTTTAAGCTTTGTGGCTTGCTCCCTCCATGGTTTACTCTGCTTTGCATGATTCTGTCTCACAAGGCCCTTGCGAAATGAAACAAGACGCCATGATTACTTTGCAAAACTTTGTAGGTCCTTGTAAAGGAGATTGAGATTGACAAGAGTAACAAAAGCTGTTCGCATGAGAGCGGGTATTTAGTGGCAGATCCTCTGGCCACCGTTAATTCTGAGTGATGTGGCTTTTCGAACTGACGGGCAAAGTGAGTGGTTTCAATTTGCCGACACCATGGGTAAAATCAGTGAATATGTTGACTCATTTGGTTGGGGTACATGGTCATTTTTTTGATTGCTGCAAATAGGATTTCTATGATATAAACAACTTTTGTCAAAAGGAAACAAAGTAATCCCTACAAGAGAAATATAGAGCAAGGGTTTAAGATTGATTGAAATAAATCTCAATGACAAGATGGAGCAACAAATCAAATAGAAAAGAACTATGAAAAAAGAATAACAAGAATCTTAACCAAAGGAAGAAAAGAGTCTTTCAAAACCAAAAAGGATTTTATAATTCTTTAATTTTCTTTGGATCATCATTTTCAGGTACCAATTTTAAATGTTGAGCACCTGCTTCACGTTTAACTCTAGAAAACAAACCAACATCTGTTTTAAAAATAAAATTAAACGTCACTAATGGCCATGAAGAATGAGAAGGTAATGGATCATAATAATCATGAGCGATTGCTTTTAGTTTAGGTAATCTTGTCCATGGAATCGAAGGGAAATCATGATGTCTAACGCAAAAAATAAAGGTTAGTTTAAGGAAGAGAGTGTAGAAGAGGGCAAGGGGGAAAGAGACGAACTCGTTGTGGTACCCTACGTTGTAGGTTAACATGTTCAAAGGACCGTAGTAACTCCATGTTTCTTGTTCTCCTCCTACACTCCAAAGATAATGTTCTGCAATGAAATGAGCAGCACAAGGGTGTAATGAACCGGCAAAGAATGATGATAACAATAGATACATAACAGCAGTTAAGCTTTACAACGAAAAAGACGAATTCGAATTAGTTTTGGTGATTCTGAAAGGGTGTAATGAGGGGAAATTGTGGCTTACCCGAATGTACGATAAAGAAAGTAATCAAAACTTAATTGAAGTGCAAAGTTTGCAAAAACCCATCGAGTTGGTTTTTGAGATTTAACAAAACCAGGTCTAAGAGCATAAAACAAAATTTGAAAAGTACTATAAAAAAGCAAACCAAAAAAAGACCACCTAATCAGATTTTGTTTTTCAATAAAGAAAGAAAGGAAAAGAAAAGAAGGAAAACACTAACGCGAAAAAAGCTTTTCCAAACACATTGTTTAAACATAATAATTCGAATTTAGTAGGTAAATCAGTATCGACCCCATCTTCACCCAAATAACGATGATGTTCAATATGATATTTTTTAAAGATCATCGAGTAAGGAATCGTAATAGGTATATTAGCAAACAAAGCCAATAATTTATTATTAAGAATCGATTTGAAAGCCAAGTTATGAGTGATTTCATGAATAGCTAAAAACAAATTCTGGTTGGCTGTTCTATTTACAAAAAACCAAAAAAAAAAGAAAATCAGGTTTGGGAAAAGAAGAGTTGGAAGTGAATTGAGAGGCTTACCCTCCAATTGCATAAGCTGTTAAGAAAAAACGCCAGTTCCAGGCAGATTGTTGACCGTTGTTTGAGAGATGTGCAAAGTAGATTGAGATTGAAAGTTGTAGGCTAACAACTAAGAGTACGATCCATCTTGTGGTAGTAGTATAACCCATTAATTTGGTAACCTAAACAAAGAGTCCAAAACACGAAAATCAATTGATGTTGTATTGGTGAGTTTGTTGAAAAGAAGACTTACTTCTGGATGATCTTTAAGGATAGCTCTACGTCTAGATCGATGAGGTTCTTCAGACATCAACCAAAGCCAATCATTCGGATCTTGAGGTAATCCGACCATCTTAGGTTTCCAAGGATCACCTTTCCTCGAGTTAATTGGTTTAGATTCATTGGTTGATGACGAATCTGATAAAGATGAAGTTTCTTCTTCTGATGAAGTGGTAGGACCGATCGATTCTGCTCCAGCAAATAAAGACCAATTTAACTTTGATTCGTTGGTTGCTGTCATTTTGTGAGATAAAATGATGTTGGTATTGTGATGAATGTTTTTGGATGAGAGTGGCTTGAAGGTCGAAAAGTGTAGGAAGTATGTAAAAGGGTGTAAATACTTTGGTGAGCGATATGTTTTATATTTTTTTTTTGGTTCGAACTCGGAAAAGCTGTATTCGATTTTCAGTTCTTTTTGTTAAGGCCAAGACGGCTACACTACATAGGTTTGTCTCAGCTGTTTTTCAACTTTCGCCTGGATGAAAGACTTCAGGAAGTTGATCAGAAGCTTTTTTTTCAGGCTGGACTGTTTTCATCATTCATTTGGTTTTTTTTGACATCATCGCTTGACCAGCTTCAGTTCATCAACTTGGCAATCATCATTACATACTAGTCTACAGTAGTTTAACCACTCTGAACTTTTATCATTGTCAGACTCAATGTCCACTTTGATTGCAAGACTTTTTGGATATGTCTAGCTCGAAAAAATCAAACCGGATTAACCTCAACTCCAGTGTTAGGATAAAGATTGCGTCAATCAGAGGAACAGAAGTTTGAAGGGGTGTAAAGATCTACCCTGCTGTAGTACAATAGAATCAGTCTAGGTCTTTCCAGTGTAGACTCAATCACCATATTTGTCACTGAAGTCTGGTTTTGCCGGAGTAAATAGCCATTGAACTTTGTTCAACACGAAAAGCGCTAGTCCTCTGAGTTGCGTGTTGACATTGCAGACAAATTCAATCCACAAAATGACTACCGCGTAGCCTGAGGCCTAATCAGCTACAGGATCCAACAACGTTTGTTTTCCAAACTAGAGCTTTGATTTGTGGATTCTTCAACTTATTGCGATTGTTGCGTGGAAGGTACATAATCCTATTGGCCTCAGCACCTTCTTGACAACAGTCAGAATTTCATTCTTTGCTAGAACTGTTTTTTACAAGTATGTTTAAAAGTAGGATACGATATGAGTTTGCATATATAGTTTTTGAGAAGATCTATGCAAAATACCTATGAGGCTGAGATTTTTTCTGATTCTTGTTCTTGTTTCGGCAAGATAATTGCTTAACTCGAGAAAGGATTCATGGAAAAGTAGTTGAAAATATAAGTACCTCTCAGAGTATAAAATTCTTGAAGGGTGTAAGAACTTCCCCTGCCGTGGCATGGGTAGAGATAGTCAAAGTATCTCCTACGTAGAATCAATCACCATTGCTCACCCTGAAGGATTGGGCAGCCATAGAATTTTGTTCAACATGAAAAGTGATGGTGCTCTGGTTGACTGTTGTAGACTATTCCCAAAGAAAGCTACCGCGGAGCCTGATCCCCCATAAGCTATGAGGTAAATGAATTCCCGATAAGTGATCATTCTTGTCTCTTAGCTTGAATCTCTTTGTTGTAAACCTGACATATTTGAGTCTCTACGTTGTAAAGATGATCCATTTCTGTTTCAATTCCTCTCAATGTCAGAACCAGGCATGACTTTTGAATCAATTTTTAACAAATGAATCTTGCATACTCTTTGGATGAGCTGAGGAATTTCAATTCTAGCATTTCTGCTTGAAATATTAGATCCAAACTGAAAGCTGAAGAGTCATTCAGGCGAGTTTCAATGGTTGATGCGTTATCTGAATCACAAGCAGATTCAATCTAGTATTGGTTGAATGAAACTGAGGTGTTGAGATACATGGACTCTGAAGTTTGTGTTGATGTTTGAAGAAGTGTCAAAGCAGAAATGAAATGATGGCACTTGTTTCTGATCAGTTTGAGATGGTGAAGAAATGCTGAGAAGTGGTGTTAAGTAGTTTAAGTTTAGATCTTAAGTGGTTTTAATTTGGTTTGAGATGGTTTCATGATTTTCAGAGTTTGAGTTCATGACCTTGTCAGTTTAACTTTGATTGCTTTGACTTTCTCGATTGTCAACTTCAACATGACTTCGACTTCAACCACCCTTCAACCTATTCAACCTCCTCATCCTTGGCAACTATGCGGTCCAGCTCTCTGTCATTTGGTTCTTTACTCATCCGATCTCACTTCGATTCGGGTGAGATTTCCAGTCCTGAGTCGAACTCGTACTGCTATCGGATCTGGTTCGCGTACTTCAATTCGTTTCGATCATCCAGATTGCGCTCCGCTTCATCTTAGACTAGCCATCGCCAACAATTATGTAGTGCGTGGCTCGATGAGTTTTGTGTAAATGACTTGAATGTAACTTGACTTGCTATTCTAATCTTACTCAGGGTTCAATTCAAGTTCATGGGCCACAGGGTGTCAAACTTCAAGATCGCTACATTTTTCCACCTAATCCTCTACCTTCCCTGGAAGAACACCCCTGGATCGAACTTAAAGACGGTGATATCTTTTACGTGGCGCAGTGGCCATTCAAATTTGAACAACGTTGGGATTTACACGCCATTGATTGGAATCTATTTGACCTTGTATGCCTTTTGCCCTTGACCAATCACTCCAAAATCAGACTTTTAGTCCCCGTGAAAACCTTAGGACGCTTTATCATCAGATGACGCAGTCAGCCTATCACTAACTGTACTTCCCTTCCAGGACTCAGTGACTGACGCGGAGACCCGGAAACTAGTGATCGGTTGTCGGGAATTGTGCAAACAAACATTGAAATCAGATCCGCCCTCGGATAATGATAGTAGTCTCGATCAAAATTCGGATTCAGTTTATATTAACAGTCCCCTCTCACCATCTGCTACAATTTCAGACCTGAGTTTAGTTTGCGAAAACAATCAAGACCATATAGGTATATTAAACCCAACCGACACGACATCATCCCTACCTCATCCATCAGACGAACTTCGTCTAGACTGTCCTAGATCTGGAAGTTCATCTTTATCATCTGATTCCGAATCCGACGAACCTCAAATGACTTCTCAAACCCGTCTCCCCACCCGCTCTTCACCTAGGCGAGAACAGACCCCTCCTCGTTCATCTCAGGCTATCCTCAAGGCACCACACACTGATCTCATTCCATCAAAACAATGCGTGGATCGTAACAAACAGCTGAGATTAGTCATCACCCCGCAAAAATCTAACGCGAGACTCAGTTGGCCATTACTTGCCTCTCAACCTCAATCTCTAAATTTCGAAAATCACACCAATCCACAACCAAAGGCTGTAGAATCAATCTCTCCTATCTTGGAAAAGGAGCAGCCTACCCCTATCTCACCCTCTTCAAGTGATCCGGATATGACTCATGTCTCCTTCAGAAGACGGTCTTACCGACGTTCCCCTGAGGCTGTCAATCAAAAGCGTGTGCGTGTCAATGGACCCCTACTTGATGATGAGTCTAGCGGTGAAGATGACCACGGAGACGATGAGAACGAAAACATATCTCAACAGCTTTATCGTTCTCCCCCTTCTCCAGGACGTAGACCTTCGCGCTTTCTTCCTGTCAGTCCGATTTGCTTATTTGTCCGAGTACCTTACGTTGTCTATCACCCCCAATTTGCAGATCTCCTAGTTGGGTACCTTGACACAACTTTGATTCTTGATATTTTCAGTCTCCCGAAGCTTCGACATCTACCTCGCCGCAATCGCCTCCCGCGATAGGGTCGACTGTATTTGATCCTTCCCAACCCACCAGCCCTATCACCCCTCCTGATCTGCGTCCCCGCCGAAAAAGCTTGCTACAAAAAATTCTTATCAAGCGAGCCGTTGAAGTCCATCTTGCTCAGACTCCTGAACACCCAGATCCTATTGGTGGATGCAGCGGTTTTAGTAGCAGTGATGAAGAAGACGATGAGCAAGCTGAAGAGGAAGATGTTGGAAGCACAGATGAGGATGCCGCGGAACAAGGACCTAACTCTACCCCTGAGGTCGACCGAGACCTTGGATTTACTGAGACCGTCGAATCTCCAGCAAATCCGCTGCCAGATCCCCGGTCTCTAGCTTTACTCCAAGTGAGCTTTCAAATGAACCGTGTAATACTATGTGATGGTCTCTCATGTCACGCATTTTTTCTACAGACTACTGCTCTAGCCTCATCCTCAGACTCTGATGACTTGACAACCCAAGCAAGCCGCGTGTTTCCCTCCACCAATGGCAAGGCTCAGTCGTTTCACGCACTTGGCGTATCTAGATCCCCAAATTCTCTTTTATCGCCTACCCGATTTTCTCCAACTCAGTCTCGTCGGTCTGTCTCCCCCAATGCGAAACTTTTGGCTGAATACGAAAGTAGAGAAGGATCTGGCCAATCCAGCTCACCTAGCCCAATCAGCGTCGAATTTCCTCTAAAAAGCAGTTTTAGACGACAATCTTATACACCTGAGGAGCTACAAAGCTTTTCTACTCAGCCTGGAGCTGCCCACCTTCAATTTACTCCCAGCGCCACACAAATTCGGACAGCACTCAAATACAATACGCAATTGAATAGCCTAAGTCCTTCTTACACAGATGAAGATGAGGAACAGCAGCGAGCAGAACGTCGAAGAAGTTTACGATCTTCAACGCCTGGTCCTTCTTGTTCATCCTTTACACCCAGTCCAACGAAGCTTACTAAGATCGTCAACGTGCAAAACGAAACAACAAGCCCACATCGCTTGATCAGAACTCCAAGATCATTCTTGATCAAACGAGGTGGATCGTTAACTCCATTGGGAGTGCCGTTCTCGCGTAGTCCTACAAGACAACACCCTATCAAGCCTATTGAAGAGGATGGAGAAGGAGAGTATGAATTGGACGAATCGGGTAAACGAAAAGTCAGGTTTGATAGAGATGTCTTTTGTCTTGAATTTGATAAGTTACCTGAAGAATTACCCAAAGAACCTCGCAGTAAAAAATCCAAAATCGAAGCCAAACCTGAAGATTCAAATCAAGACTCTGCACCAAAAGTGAGTGTATCATCTGTCATTGTTTATTGATCTTTTGATGTGAAATTCATATAATTTTTAAAGCCAAGGGGTAACCGACGTCGCAAAGCGAGTGATCCCGGTAACAGTTCTAACTCAAATCGTCCTAGGCGAGCTTCGAGTAGGTTATCTGTACCTGTTTCCAACCGTGATCACGCTTCACGACGTGCACGCGGCGGTGAGTTGTGTTCAATATCTCAAATGGGTAAAAATCATGGCCCATAAGCTTTGTGATTTCCTTTACTAAAATTTTCATTCGGCTTTTCATCACAGATCAATCTTCAGATTCTATTGCTGCATTTCAAGGCCGAGAATACTCGACAATCAATTCAAGCGGAGGTCATACTTCTGTTGATGATTCGGCTATTGCCACTATGCCAAATCAACCAGATCAAAATGACTCGATCATTTCACAAATCAAGCAACAATTCGTGAATCTCGGCATTGGTGGCAATAATAGCACCAGACAGCGAGCGAATTCTTTACCAGCTGACGTGTCACGATTCGCGAATCGGAACAACACTACTGAGAAGACTGCAGACCCAGCAGATCTAGCGAACGAGATGAAATGGTTATCACTAAATACAATCAATACACATCCTTATCTAAAACAACATTCAGGCATCACCGAAAGACCCCATTCTGCTCCTTCTTCAGCTTATCTCAAAACTACTACAACACCGCGTCTCAAGTTTCCTGAATTAAGTTCATTTGCACCTCAATTAGTTGGTGTACGAGAAATGATTCTTGCTCCTATTCAACGTTTGAGTTTACCTCATCTGGATATGTCTTGGAAGAATATCTTCACTTCTTGGAGGGATCCTGTGAATCCTCCTGTAGCTAGTCTTGTGGACCCTCAAGGTGATGGTGATGGTGAAGAGTATCAATCAGATGATGCCTGCTCAGAAGACTCAGTTATCATTGTGATCAACGAAGATGCTTTTCCGACATCGCCGGAAGCAGAAGCAGAACCTTCTGATCCACTTCCTTTGACAACAGATGTGGTAGTAGCTGAAGAGGATCTTAAAGTGGATTGTCAGGAAGATATGGTATCCTCAAATACATCTTCGAAGCTAGAAAACGTGTCTGCAGACGAAGATCAACGTCAAACAAGTAAAAAACCATCAAGACGAAAAGTTGCATCACCACCACTAAGTTCGAATTCTAATACACGAACACTTCGATCACGATCCACTAACGCAAAAAACGGAACTTCAACCACTCCTGAACCTGTTCCTGTGACAAATAAAAGAAGTAATTCAAATCGAACTGATTCATCTGGATCATCTAAAAACGAAGTTGATAATAATCCGAAAAATGAAAGAATAAGTAAAGCAGGAGGAATGACTTCACCACGGAAGACTAGATCTAGGACTCGTACTCGAACTGGTGAAACTGAAGATCATCATGAAAAAAAGATACTTGATACTGAACATAATAATAATAATAATATTTTTGAAATTGGAAATGGAAATGGATTGATTAATAATCATAATAATAGTCAAAATAATCGAAGACGTACTCAGAGTTCAAAGTAAGAGATTACTTTTATAGTTTTTTGAGGGATTATGGATGAAGATGATTTGGAAATCGATCAATTCTTTTGTATTATTATCCACTTTTTTTTGGTTCTTATTTCGATCGATCTTTGTTATTTTTTTTGGAAAAAAAGGAAACAAAAAAAAACTGTACCTTATATATAATACTACATATACCAATCTATGTGTTTTTATTTTCTTTGATCGGTTTTAGTTTTTAGTTTTTGAAAATTTAGGAAAGTCAAGTTTTTTTTTGGTTGTGGAAGAAGTAGTGAAAGATTATTATAGTATTGAAGATGATGAAAAAGATGTATTCTTGAAATTGTTCTCTTCTTGATTGGTTTTGTGGATGGTTTCTTTTGAGATCTGTTTTGGGTTTTTAGTTTTTTGGAAAATAAATGGATACGTTTCATTATAAACAAAAGAAAGCCATCTAAGTTGAGTTTTTGTGAGTAGTATGCTTTGAGTTTATGAGGTCACTTATTCTCATTTTTGAGTGGGATAACATTTTGGAGTTGTGATTTGGTCATTGGTACTCTGGAGTTTATTTGCAAGTCAGTACATCATTGAGAAATTGGGATTGAAGGAAATCGGAATCACAAAGTTGTAACAATAGTAATACAACACAACCTCTTTAGATTCATCAATTCCTTCCTCATTGTTAACCAACTAAGCCAAGGGCGGAGCATTTATATCTAGTTAGATATCACTTATCATTCAAGTAAGAAAGAATTGTAATGAAAGGATTGGACATATAATTTTATGAACACCACATTAAGTTGAATATCCTTTGTTTAGATAGATGTGAAGTTTCTTCACGTTAGGCTTCAAGAGTTCTTCACCACTTCCTTTACATTGTTATGTACATCTTTAGACTCGGAGGAGCAAGAAGAAGACAGTCAAAAGCAATTCTTAGGGTTTGAGATTGGATGGGTTTGATAGATGATTGATATGACCTTTCTATCCAACATAATTTGCAATGAGTTCAACAAGCAAACACCGTGTTCGTCTAATGTTTGCTCGTCGGCAAGCGCACACGAGTCGCCTTTGTGCCTCAAAGGGAGTCCGTGTGCGCTTGTCGTCGAGAGACTGCCACACAGACACGGTGAAAGGTGAAGACCATCAGAGTGGAAGTGACAAAACCGCAATATTGCGGTATCACTCAACCCTCTCCACCGAAGAGTTACCAACCGAGAGTGAGGCACAGACTAGGGGTTTCAAATGAAAGGATCGTGACCAAAATACTTTGTGCCGACACCCTTCATGCAGACATGTTAGATAGATTTTTGTTACATCTCGATCTTATAGGGTTGCGATTGACTTCCTGCCTCTGCACGCGCTCGAGGTCAACGTTGGCTTGATTACCATCTCCAGGTGACTCCTTGAATGCACCTTTACAATCCGACGTTGTTCACCCGTACGCCGATCAAGTGTGTGTGATGGTGTCTCTCTGATATATCACTTGGGAAAATTTCACTTGCTGTGCATGTGCTTGATATTTCTTTTGTTCCATATCTTTTTACCACTTTGAATTTGGAAATATCTCAAACTTCCGACTCTGAGTCAATTCAAACCGCTGTGGTCTTTGAACTCTGGTGTGAATACTGTGCTTAGATTCTTTTTGAAAAACTCTTTCTGAAAACACCGACGACATCGACTTACCCAATCATCAAAGATTAAACCTCACTATTGAAGATGCATCTCAGTCAGCTTCTATTCATCTTAGTAAATCTTCTCCCATATATAGGCTTAGTGTTTGGGGATAGTACACAAGAATGTGGACTGTTTTTTGGGCCAAGTAGAATAGATGGCAAATACAGTCAGTACTCAAACTTTCATTTTGATCACCTTTTCAAATAGACACACTTGAATCTAACACCAACTTTTCCTAGTCTGTCAGAATTCAGGCCGCATGGCATACCTCTGTGCACCACCACAATTTCCTAAAATTCCTCTGGACAATTGTGTACCTTACGTTACTGCTCCAGCATTAACTGGAGTTGATACTCAAGCAACCCAAACCCATCAAGACTGTGATACAGCGAAAAAACATGACGACGAGCGTTACATCAGTGCGTTGTGTTGTAGTTACCACATTACAACAAGGTATTCAAAACTGACAAATCATCTTCGTAATGATTTTCTAGACTGTGGAATGCTTGCCGTGCTGGCTACTGGTAATATCGTTAGCACGGCTTTCCGATGTGAATATAACAACTGGAATTTGAATGGTGATAATCTTAAATTTTTTATAATGTTTTCTAAAACTGACTGTTTGAATTTTACATTTGAATAGTTGCATATGAGTGCAAACTTATAGCAGATCATTCCATTGAATAGTGAGTCAGGATCATCGAATGAATATTGCACAAGATAAGATAAAAACTCATCTCTCATCTCTGATTTTCTTATCAATTGGAAGTGAGGTGGATTATCAATTTCCAGAATATAGGGATTATTTGATATCATGAGATATGTATATAAATAAAGTGATCAAGTAGATCTGTACCCTCTTTGATACAGCTGGAAAAGCAAAAAAAATGTAGATAGGTAATGTGATAATTCAAGTTGCTAGAGCCAGAATATAGGATGTTGCAATGAAACATAAAAATGTCATTGGAATGTTGTAAAACAGAATACATATGTAGTGTACATAGATTGATCAAGGAGGTCTATGCCCTCTTTGTCACAGCTGGCAGTAAAAAAGAATCATAGTTTGTATGTTATTAGAGTCATTTCAGAAAGGCTTGTCACAAATTCCCCGCCAATTTGTTGGAGTTTGGCTGGCAAAATTGGTCAAATTTTTGTAAATTGACTGTAACTTGATAGAATCAGAACAAGGGAAAGCAGATGAACAACCAATCCATTCGTCCACGGGGCTTTCTGCGGGAGAAAGACACTTAGTGAATACGTGGTCATTCACTAAGTATTTTATATGTGTATATAAAATTGCTCTCTATCATACCAGGATGATAGTGCCGGTGCAGGACTTGCCTTAAGGAATTCCTTAAGGTGAGGCCTGCTGGCTGCGGGTGCGTACCCTAGCGCCTCGAGCAATCTTCGAGAAGGTCTCGTCCAGCTTGACGACGTCAAAGCGTAAGATGACCTCCTGCAAAGAGCCCAACCAGTCAGATGTCTGACTGGCGGAGGCAGGACAGAGAGTGAGGGAGAGAGAGCTCTATCAAACCCAAAGGGTGGGCGGGTGAGTGCAACGAAGAGAGGGGTCTGAAAGAGCTCTGGTGGAAGGGAGCTGGGGAGAAACGGAGAGACACGGACAAACAGCGAGGATGACAAGATCCTTGTAGGAGAGAGGAATGAGAAAGTTGTTCCTCTCGAACGGGAACAAACTGACAGGGATCATTATATGATCCTCTGTCTCATTCGTTGCATCCTACAGGATTAGCTCATCCTAGGCTGTGCGCAACCCTACCATTGGTACCTTCTTACCGTTTCGATGTCTGAGCCACGAGGTAGCACTGAGTGCCTTGGCGCAGGGCTGCTACCGTGTCTGTTGGCCTAGAAAGGCCCTTCTCCCAAGCTCCTGGCTCATGGACGGATGTGATTCCTCGTGCCTCCTCAACACAGAGCACTAAAGATCCCAAGTATCTGAATTAAACAAGATGAGAAGGAAGTTCTTTGTTCAACTAAGTTCCCTAAGCTATACAAAGCCCCTCACAAGTGTGTTGCCCTCAAAGAAGGGCTTACGTCAGACTCAAGTTTTTTGATGGGGGAGCTCCAAGAATTAAGTCAAACAATGCAACCCATGGTATGATTTTGACTCCTCAAAATACAAGGACCATAGCAGATTCTCTAAGCCCCTTTTCAAGGGCAACACACTTGTGAGGGGCTTTGACAAGCTTATAACTTGCCCAACAGATGGATTTCAGGATCCATATGATGGCACAAAATTACCAAAGTAGAATGTATTCAACTCCAGAAAGCTCCCCAATGGTAGTCTGTTCCATCAGTGTTGTCCTCCTCTCATCCAGCTCCACACCATCTCATCCTCAGCTGTATCCAAGCTCTTGCTTAGTGTGTGACACAGTATACTCCAAATAATAACCAGCCTCAGTCCATGGTCATTTATTTTTCCTTCCCACACAGCCACTCAATAAAATGACAAGTTTTTTTTGAAAAAAAGGAGAAAGACTGTTAACCATGATGTATCCAGTTCTCCTCCAAGTCAAACCCAACAATAAAAAGTCTCTGAATATTCTCAGTCAAGATACATAACTCTCTATTGGTTTCTTCTAAATCCACATCACTAATAATAACCTGTTATTATACAACAGGTCCCCCCAAATGGTATTTCACAACTTATCTCAGCATTGAAAAAAGAGAATTGGGTAGGCATGCACAGACACAGGGGGTACAGTTTCAGAATGGTTCTGACCCTTTGCCATAATTGACTGTCAAGGTTTTATTGATAGCCACACATGGATTAGGCTAGGACCACCTTGGGTGCAACCCCTGAGGTCTGCACTGTGATGAACTTCAACTATGGTGTTACACTGTCTGATAAGCCCAATGTGTGAATGTACAATAATATATAGCTTGACAATCACCGTGTCTGTGTAGGCTTTGCTAGTCGACAAGCGCACACCAACTCCCTTTGAGGCAGAAAGGGAAGTCGTGCGCGCTTGTCAACGAGCAAACACTACCCGGACACGGTGAATATGACGTTTGGATAGGCTTGTATCTCAACAAGTAATTTGCCTTGGCAATTTGTGTTGCAGACAAACCATGTTGTCATATTATAAGGGGATATTGCAAGAAGAAGGTGTAATGGCTTTAAGTGGATAAGGGTGGTTTAAGATACTGAGGGGGATTCACAACATGGTTGCACAAAAAACATGTGTCTTTATGACAGTAAGTCACACAAAACCTTTTGGTTTCCTAAACCATGCAAAGAATCAGATCTGATCCACTCATGAATTAAACAATATCAGAGAATAATTTTGTTGATTGGGCTGGATATACACCTTACTCCAACAGTGTTGATGCATCTATACAGAGAAATGTGTGAGCTACAATTATCTCAACCCAAAACATTTCAGTCAGTACAATGTTTTCTATTTTCTCATCAATTTATCACCAACCTTCAAGAATGTACATGTTTTTGGGCCCTCATATGGTTGTTGAGAAATCATACATCTGTAAGTTGGACTTATGTTTGAGTATATATAACAGAGTTGAGAAAACCTGACCTCTATCTTATCTCATTTGTCTTACTTGGATCAATCAAAAAAATTGGTGTTTTGGCAAATAGTTCAGAACTCCAGTGTCATTATCATTGTCATTGTCACACACATGAACAGCTTGGAACATTAAAATTTTCAAACCCAAATTGTGATGTCAAAAGACCCATACCAAGAGGAAAAAGAAACCACAATCAAAAAACACTCCACTGAAATTGTAAGATGAAATGTGATGATTCCAATCTTTACTAAATCAATAAACCATTTAATCCAATTTTCTTAAAAGAAGCCATCATGAGTCTCTGAGCAAGTGAGTCCAACTCCCATTCTCAAAACAACCATGATTCCTCCTAATCAATTCATCTATCCAACAACTGTAAACCCCACAAAAGACTCCTCCCCCAAAAAAACCATACCAAACTTAATTTCTATCTATATAAACATTTTATTATTTTTATTTTTTTGAATCAACTTTCATTTTATACTACTTATACTGTTACATCAAAAAAGCTAAAGAAAAAAATAAAGAAAAAAGGATTCCAAGGGAAAATAAAATCCATCATGATTTTTCATAAGTTTAAGTGATATTTTGTTTTCTATTTATTCAAGATACATTTTTGATTTTCTATCTTGTAAAATTTTTAACTTTTGAACTTTTCAAAAGGAAAAAAAAAATATCATATTTTCCTGCTTTGTATTAGTTATCAAATAAAAAGAAGAAAAAAAAAAGAAAAAAAAAAGAAAAAAATCATGTTTCCAAGATTTTCAAGTTAGAAAACCCCCACCTTTGGTTCAAAAAAACCAACACTTCATCATTAAATCAAAACCAACCAAGTTTAATTCAAGACCTTAAGTAGACAATCATAACACATGTGAATGTTATGAATGAGAAACCTGCTGTGGTGGTTGTGTTTGCTGCTGCTGTAAAAGTTGTAAAATCGAAGCGATCCTACCCAAACCCCTCATCAACACTCCAACACTCCAAACCTGAACCTCAAAGAAAAACAAAGGGAACATACCCATTCAAAGCGCAATCAGCCGATTTTTCTACTCCAGGTACAACACTCAACGATCTTCTACTACCAATTCCACTCTTAGGTCTAGGAGTACAAGTTCTAGAACAAATCTTCCTTAAGTTATCAATCACTTCTGATCGTTTCCTTTCCGCATTCATTTCGTTATCTTCAAACCTTCTTCTTAAAGTAATAATCTCTTCTCTTCTTAATCTATCGATTTCTTGTATAGCTACATATCCCCCACCCAAAAAAAAACCCAAAACCAAACCAAAAAAAAAGATTTAATGTTTTTTTTTGGGGGGATTAGGTTCATAAGCTTTTCGAAAAAAAACTTACATTGTAAATGTGCATTTATCAATGCAAAACTTTCTTCTTCTTCAATTTCTTCTTCAAAAGCAGTAGATCCACCTAACCAATCTTCCAAACCCGGTTCTCTAAAACTATCATTCAATCCATTTCTTCTTCTACCACTACTACTAGTACTACCAACCTATCCCGAAAAAAAAAAGAAAAAAAAAACCATTCAAATTCATTTACCTGGTTCTCAACAACAACGAATCACTTACAAGACTTTCTCTTGTTCTAGATGAACTGGGTCGATTAGGTGTTTGAAGTCTTGCACCAGTTTGTAAGTATGAACCTACTCCAAACCGATCAGTTTGAGAAACCGGTCTTGTAGGAATCTTAGGTGCTGGTAACGATTCAATAAATGATCGATCCTATTTTACACAAACCAAAACATAAATAAAAACAAGTTCAAGTAAAAAGATTCTTTAATTCCAAGATTTGAAAAACTCTTACAACTGATGAAGGTCTTGGAGAAATCTTGGGTTGATCAACCAAAGAAGTAGCACGATGGTGTTGCTAACCAAACCCAAACAGAATCCAAACCAAATCAATCAAACCTATCCTAGTTTCCATACAATTTCTTAAGAATCACTCACGAATGAAGGTTTCGAAATCGATGGTAAACAACAAGACGATCGATCAGCACGACGAGAATTCGAAGGAGTCACCCGATCAGAAGAACAAGGATGGGTTTGAGGAATCGGATGATGATCGAACCTAGAAGCCGATCTTAAAGGACTAAGCAAGTTTCTATCCATCAATTGATGATTCATCACCACATCCGAAGACTGATGTAATGAACTAGTAGTTGGCGGTAATGGTAACGGTGGTGGTGATCTAAATTGACTAGAAGTAGGATGACCAGAAGAATTAGAATGAAACCTTAAACTAGGATTCGATTCGGATGATCGATGATCTTTAACTTGAAGATGATTAGATTGATGAGACCCATTGGAAGAGTTTCTAGCCGAAAGTTGTGATGATTTCTTTTCAATCTCAAGACTACCAGTTGCACTACTCTCACTCCTGATACTCACAGCTCTACTACTACGAGGTGAGATGATTTGATGACTTTTAGGTGTGATTGTTCCTACACTGTTTCGAGGATGGGTATTAGGTGTAGGTAATGCACTAGGTGAAGGTGGTTGTCGATTACTGTTTCGGGTCGTAGGTCTTGCTTTAGGTGTGGGACTTCTGGTTTGATCTAAATGATTCAGAATCGTTGGATTGATCACTTTTTCATCTTCTTTTGGACTTAGATATCGGTTTAATCCATTCACAGTCGATCGACTCATTCTACTTTGAATCAAATTAAATGCAGGTGGAGAAAGTTGAGATGGTTCAGGTGCATTCCATACACTTCTTTCTATACTTTCAAGTTGATTGGGTCGATCCCATTTCTTCTTCTTTTCAACTTCCTGTTCCACAATTTCGGCTGGCTTGACATTTTCTGTTTTAACTTCTTCTTGCTTTTGATCCATCACATTCAAAGTCTTAGGCTTGGTATTATCTTCTTGCTTTGGTGTTTCGGTTCTTTCTTCTTCTATATCAACAACAATTTGTTCAGGTTTCTTTAACTTTTCTTCATCGGATCTCAAAGACCCTTGATCCACGAGTTCTTTCTTTTGATCATCATTCTTATCAAGTCGACCAATCTCTTCATTTGATTTACAATCACTCACGATTTCCTTGACTTTCTTCTTTTCTTCTTTTTCCCGATCATGTTTTTGTCTCATCAAACTTTCAAAATCAGGTATAATCATCATCTCAGGATTAATTTTCATTTCATTTCCCTTCCCCAAACCTTCCTTGATGGTTTTCAAATCTTCTTTTTCTTTGATTTCCAATTCGATTCGTTTAATCTCATTCAATTCTACTTTAGTTTCTTCTTGACCATCCAATTCAAACGATCTTTCAAACGCTTCAAAAGCTCTACCCAATCTTTCCTTCTTACTCTCCAAGTTCTCTTCATCTTCTTCTTCATTCGTTTCCAATGCCCAACCCTTCATCATTCTTCCTAACTCAAACCAAAGTTTCGAATCTGTCGGATCTAATTCTATGCCTTCTTGTAAAACCAATGCCGCTTCTCTATATCGTTTCTTTAATCCTAAAAACCTTTGATAATCTTTTCGATATTCGTTGGAGATCGGAATTGATGGAGTACTTAACATGATCGATTTCCTGTATCCTAATGACGCATTTGAAATTCGTTGATTGGTTTCTGATTGAGTTGTAGTGGGATGTTGAAAATGTAACGTTTGCCATGCTTTAGCCAAAACATTCCAAGCCATCGGATCTCCATTATCTATTAGTTCAACCAAAAAAAATCGTGGTATTTTAGTTGTTGTTGTGGTTTAAATGGAGTAGAAAACAAAACTGACCGATCTGAATACTTTGTTCTAAATAATGAATAGCTAATTTAATACTAGGTTCACTACTACTTTGATGACCTAAATTCCAATCTAAATAAAGTTTTCCTAAATCTCGTATAAGTCTTGCATTAGAAGGTGAAGGGATTAATTGATTCACAATCTCATCTCTCATCTTAACCATCTATTATAATCACGAAAAGAAAAAAAGACACAACATCAGATTTAAGAAACTTGGGAAAACTTTTTTTTTGTTTTTCAAAGCTATGTGTATGTAGAAGTGTGAGGGGAAATTAAAATCCTTTACTTTTTCTCGTCTTTCTTTTTCGTGCCTTTTTTGGGCTTGTCGGTTGGCTATTTCGTAATCTTTTTGATCAGTTAATCTTTTAATTTTTGATTTTTTAATTTTTTTAAACTCGTTTGGATGAGGGGATCCCGTTCCCGATCCAGACAAGTGTAAAGAAGGTATCCCATTTTCATGTTGGTTTTCCAAACCGATTCTTCCATGATGAGTATTATTAGGAATCGTAGAAACCGGTCTAGTGGGTATAGGAGTTGAAGTACCATTTGATATAAAGTTTGGTTGGATTGATTCGTGATGAGTTGGTTCGAATGAATCAGATTGAGTAGGAGTGAAGATTGTATTGGAATGATGAAGTCTTTTAAGAAGTGGGTTATTGGATGATAATCTTTGAAATGAAGAAGAAGGTTGTGAAGAATTAGAATGATGAGAAGAAGTGACCGAACTAGAATAATTTGTAGTAGTACCACCCGTGGTGGTATGAGTAGGTTCAGTTCGTTCACTAAAAAAAACATCAAACATGACCGTCTGTTTTGGGAACTTTCGATATGATCCGAATCAGAAGACACTTACCTTATCACTGGACTTAACACATGACCTTCCATACTCCATCTGTTACCCCATCGATCCCTACCACCTTCACCATCGACTTTACCAGTTTGATCAATCCGAATTGCCAAAGTTTCATGCCGACCTGTTCTTCTATTCACATCAAGTTGTTCTTCAATTTCTAATTCTTTTCCACTGTTATGATGATGAACTGATGAAGATGAAGGATCTGAAGATGAAGAATGGTGTTGAGATAAGATTGAAGAGATTGATTGATTGATGATCGGTCTACGTAATGGTGGAGGGATTGAAACGGGTGGTGGTTTTTTGTTGTTGTGATGATGATGATGATTTATAGGTTGAATCGAATTGATGAAAGATTGAGAGAATTGATGGTGATGATGATCGTTGATTGGAGAAGGAGTAGTAGGAGAGAATGGAGGAGAGAAACCTCTTGGTAATTTCTGATGATGATGATGATGGTTTGATGAATGAGATCTAGTTAGATTGATGAGTTCTTCTGGTTTGAATGCTAAACTGAATGGTGAAGTTCTTGGTGATGGTGATTGGTTAGTAGTTGTTGTTGTAGTTGAAGTAGTTGAAGTGATGATTGGTGAAGATAACATTGAAGCTAATCTATCGATCAATGGTGGTGAATTTAATCTTTCTTCTATTTCGATTTCTTGATTTGTTCTCATCTTCTTATCTTTCCAATTCGAAAGAAACAGAAATAGAAAAAGAGAAAGGGCAACTGAAGTCTACTGTCTAACCCTTTGACCCACTAGATTGTACCAGTACTACTACTACCAACAGTATTCAGTATTTATTCCATAGAGTTTTATTTATTTTTTTGGGGTTATTCAATCAGAATATGTAGAAGATAGATACTTTAACTTCCAATTACTTTACCAGCTCATCATCTCATTCAATTGGGGTTACTATCACTTCTTTCTCTCCTATTCCTAATCATCACTACCATCCTGAGCAATCTAACAGTTAACTTTCGAAGTTCTTCAGAACACAACTTTCTCTTCAACCCTATCTCAAACAATCTTAATTTATCGATAATCAACTTGATGAGCTTATTTCCTGGTGACTTCTCATGCACTCTTTCTAATCAAACTTTTGCTTATCTCTAATGATTAATCTTTTCATTTGTGTATCTTTTTCTTTGATTCACCAAGAAATTGTACATAACCATACTATACTGTACTGGATTGCTTTGAATGTAAGTTCGGCAAAGATATGATATATATTTCGAAATAAATAAATGATTTGAAAAATTATCATTCTTTCATGATAAAGAACCATTCAACCAAAAAAAAAACATCAAAAAAATTGAATTTCGGTATCACAAAAGAAAAGAAAAACACAAAGCAAAGTTCAAGCCAGAAAATCTCTTTATGATCTTAAAGAGATAAAAACCAAAATAAAAATTCATAAAAAGAAAAAAATCAAAGAAGAAACCCATCATCAAAAAGAATAAGTTTTTTTTATGATGATGGTTTTGATTTTTATTTAGATCGGTAAGCCTCCTTGTACTCTACATGCTTTTGTGGTAGAATGATGTTTTCCTTTACGAGCCTTATCGATTCCTATTTAAATCAATCAAATTAAATAAGATTAGAAACTTGTAGAACAAAATTGGATTTAGAGATTAACTTACTGATATCTGAAAGATCACAAACTGGCAAATTGATAATACATTCCTGATTAGGATCAGAAGGTAAAGGACTACCAAAAAAACCACAAAAAAAGCAAATAAGTTCCAATTTCAATCAGATTTTTTTCTTTATATAAAATGTTTTGTTTTTTGTTTTTGCTTTTTTACTTACCTATCTTGATAAGGATCAAATTCGAATTTTTTATATTTAGATTGACAAATCCAAGATTGATTTACAAGATAATCAGTTGTAAAACCAAATTTAGCTGAAATCATTTTAGCACTTTGGATTTTGTTTTCGGTTTTATCTCCTTTTGCTAAAACAATATTCATCATTCTACAATCAAATAAATAAATCAAAATCCAAAAATCAAAATCAAGAGGAAAAACAAAATCAAGAGGGAAAAACGAAATCATTTTCAAAGATTTTTGAGATGAGATTGTTGATTTGGCTTACATTTTGTCGGGGGTACAGTAGGATAAATATTCGTCGCCTTCTCGTGCTCCATTTGGACCTTTTCCATCACATTTTTCCTAAAAAAAAATTAACCAAACAAAACATTAATGGTTTGATAAAGATATATGAAGAAAAAGAATCACTAACCCCACCACGAGTCACATAAGCACCCTATGCAAAAAAAAAAAAGAATCACCATCAAGATCATTCTTTCTTTTTCGCACATTTATCAAAATTGTAGAAAAAAAAAATTCTTACCATCGAACGTAGTACTAAATTTAATGAACGAGCTTGAATAACAGTAGCATATTCAGTTTGAAGATCAGCCGTAGTTTTAGGTTGAGTATCATATAAGAACACTCCATTCTTTAAAACACCACTGATGCCTTGTGGAGAACTGATAGGAGAATTAAGAACGGTTTGAGTAGTATTTGAGATCTTTGAATGCATTCCACTTTCCCATTGAGAGAAAACGTTCCCAATATCACCCCACTAGAAGAAAACCAACAGATAAGAACTCGAAATCTTTGAATACGAAAGGAAAGAGTTCACGTACGGCTATGAATGATTTCTTATCTTCTGGAGCTGTTGAAAGTAAATTACTTATAGTAAACCCATTACTAGCCAAGAAACCAGAAGCCACTGAGATGATACCGAAAGTTGAAAGGATCGTATATAACACTCCAACATAACCTGCCAAGAATAGTAAATCTACTCCTAGGACCATCACAGCTGAAAATGAAGCAATCAACATTGCCAATGATGATGCATCAAATGCGTAGGCTGATGCTGGCATATTCCGATTAGTACTAAAAACCGAAAGGAATTTTCGTGATGTTAGTGTGGATGATTCATTTTAGATTTGTTGGAAAGACTTACAGTTCCGATACCATAAGTGCCAAAGTACCTAATCGAAATAACTAATCAACATCTTTTTTCTTTAGAACCTTGATGTAAAAAATGTGGAAGACAAGAATGAAGAAATTTACCTTGAACAATCGAAGTAGCAAAATGAACAGCTTTATAAACCGAATTCATACAATTATTCCATTCTTGTACTGATAATAATATATACCAATCAAGTCCAACTACAGGATCACAAATCTGTCCAATCGTACAATCTTCTTCTATACCACATTTAAAGTTTTGTGCTCCTTTTGAATCTGCATATTGCTAAGAGAGAAAAAAAAAAACAAAAAAAAAAGATATGAAAAAATGCTGGTAGATTGAAAGGGTGTTTGGGATATAGGAATAGACTTACTGTTAGAGTTAAGTTTTGACCACCTGAATAGTTAGTTAAATAATCATCTAGTTTTAAATCTTTCCAAGTTTGAGCCGAAAGGTTTCCAGCAATACAATTAGGATCTTTAACATTCTGCGGAACAGGTGCTTGAGTTGATGTAGCATTATTATTAGTAGTAGGAGGAGGAGATCCATTGGTTGAATTGATAGGTGATGGGACTCCAGGAGTTTGGGTAGCAGAACCAGGAGCAGCAGGAAGAAGGAATCCAGAAGAAAGACTTGCTCCAAGGATAACCAAACCTAGTGAAGGTCTTATTGATTGATAAACCATCTTCGGTTCGGGAAGGCTCGATGGTGATCTTTATAAGGTGTTCTTGAAGCTAGACTTCTGCTTGAGGTTGGGTTTCCAAACGAATGTAGTTCTTGACAAAAACTGGTGCTGTTGTCTGTTATTAAATTAATATATAGTTCTCTTTCTGGATCTTCGTAGTTTCTATCCTGGTGTTTAAACGAGAGTGAGGAAGACCATGAAATAAGTTGTGCAAGGAATATCAGAGAGTTCTCTTGCACAAGTAAAGTTGATGATTTTGTTTAGGAGAGGGAAAGATGTGGTCTTAACGAACGATAAGATGACCAACAACTAGTTTTTTCAAAATATATAATGTTAAAATGGTTAATGAAGGGAGAACGGAAAAAAGGAGAACAGACTTGGAAAACCCAATTATAAAAGCTCATGCCGACTTTTCCCCTCTTCGTTTCAACCGATTCTATCTGATACAGATGATGAGGAGAAGTTTATGATTTAGAATTCCATGTAGACATGAGTTTGACTAACTGCTCTTTTAAATTTTAGCCTGCACACACGTCTCACCTCTTGAAGTTGCGTGTCTGTGGTGTTTTTTCGATATTTCGTTCGTTCTTACTCAACTTGGACTCAGACTCAGTATAGTTTCACACTTTACTACGCAAACATTATTCATGCTACAGCGGATGAAAAATCAAAAAAAGTATCAAGCTTGTATGTTTTGCTTCGGTCGGTCTGACTTCCTTTGATACCGCTTGCTTGAGGTTGGGTCCATTAAAATCACAGTCAAAATTCCAATCGTTTTCTCTTCTTAAGCTTTCTCGACTCAGATCTTGATCAGCCTTGGGAATTAAGGGGAGGGTTCTTGTGATTCGACTCATAGAATTCATTCGATGTTCAGATTGGCTCATCATGAAACTTGTATCAGAAATTGACTATCTTTACCCAAAACTCTGACTGATATCTCTGACCCTTGTGTTTAAAATATGAATGATCTGGACTCCAAGGATTGTGCAATCGTATATTCTATCCGTGGTATCGCTGAACAAACTTGTTGTCTCTATTGCTTCACTACGGAAACTGCAGGTCATCGTCAGATCAACTCCATCAAAGCTTCCCTCATCCTAATCCATCGAGCCTTGCCTGCGTACCTGTAAGAGGGTTACACATATTAGAGTCTATGGGGTTACGCATTATGGGTTTAGATGGAGAGTAGGATATGTTTCTGTTCCACGCCGACTCCGGTCAGTCCTCACTCTTTCGAGAGCCTTAAAACGAGGCAGCATTTCATCAGCAGTTCAGAATGCTTTTCTTGGCGTAACTGGATTGTTAAAATTGAGCAGCTAACCGCTTCAAAGCGTCAAGGCTTGGTCTTGTCAGTAACCTTACGATTGGAATCGAATTTGATGAGTCCGGCAAGGTCTCATGAATGCAAGTTTCTTTCACAAACCAAGTCTTCTGCTCAAGTATCTTGCGCCTTACACACCAGAGGATGTCTTGTCACCTATTCACTTGCTCAGGCCTGGCGATTACACTCCTCTGGGGCGCGCAATCGTCACGTGGAGGAGTATTGCTAAAGGAAAACAAGCCGGAGAAAAGCTTGGGGGACAGCTTCAATTTGATCCTCTCAAAACTTTCAAAAAAAATGAGAATGTCATGTTTTGGGACACGAAGGACTTCTAAGCTCCATCTCACATGACACTCATCTTGACTTGATTCCTCTTGTGAGTATAAAACACAACATCACAAGTGCCTCCTCGAAAACGTATAAGTCTTTATGTTTTGTACAAGACATAGGCTGCGGATCCGTCTAGTGGACATAATATTGACAAGAAAATAGCATATGGTAGAATTCACCAATGCTGAGTAGTTGATCTCAGTGTAACCAGACTTGTCATGAAACGTTCAGGCAGTAAGGTCTATGATTCATTAATTGTAGCAATGCAGCTTTATGTAAAATACTATGAACAAGTTGATGTATTCAAAAATGTAGATAACAAGAGCAAGAAAGATCCACATATACGTTATGAAGTAGGGGCGGATCTGAAGACCTGCTTCTATTGGTAGCAAAATTGGTGTTGGTTTAATGAAGCGTACCATAGTCACACCGTTCTTGCTCTTCAACATGACTTGCACCTAGAGCCTCCCACATTCTTTGTCGAGCCCGTGTCATTGCATAAACGTAGTCCGTCCTTAAGATATACAATGTACATGTTGATGCGGTACAAGTTACTGCAATCGTCATACCGATCCATAAGCCGTACTATGGTTGTTGTCAACTGCAATCAGTTTCTGTAATTCCACCTGTGAAATCAGATGATGTGTACTCACTACGCCCAAGTTGATTCTTGAGAAGGTGAGGATAAGCCCGATCGGAAGTCCAACGGCATAGTAACCGCCCGAGTTGATCATGGCTCCTATGTTGGGTTTCCCTAACCCTCGCAAGACACCACCCGCTACCGCAGCGATACCTGTGGATGATACATTCGCAAAACATATGTTGAATCAGTTACACAGTGGTAAAATCATGAGGCGTTTCATGGTTACGAACAATCGGGTACTTGGAAGAGGGCCACGAGTGGTAACTAGAAAGGTGTGCAAAGATCAGTCTCGCCAATAGGGTCACGAAGAAAAGGAAAGGACTACTCACCACATCGGCAACGATAGATATCACCTCTGGGGCCGAACTGAAAAGTTCTCCCAACCCTTCACGGAAGCTAACCATAATGATCATATTGACGACCCCCACGCAAAATCCACAAGCAAGAGCGGATAGAGTGGCCAATTTCGCTCGACGTGGCATACCTGCACCCAATAAATTGCCACATCGTACAGCGGCCGCGGCCGAAGTAGCGTAGGGAAACTGGTAGACAACTGAAAAGACGAAAATAAAGTCAATGCATGTGATGAGAATGTGAACTGTGAGATAACGTACATGTCGAAATGGTGGCTAAATAGTGAAGAGTTATGGGAAGGGGTATCAGCATTGTTCGTTGGATTGTTTACGGCGCGCAGAGGAGATGGGGTTCTGCTTAACTGATGATGCTTTGGGCAGCCAGCGTGCTGGGACCAAGTAAAGAACTAGAAAGTCCGACAATTTCCCAACACCACCATTCACTAGCGATCATCGTAAAGCCAGCGAGTCCAAAACGGAAATTTGGACCAAGCTCTTGAAAAGCTGCTCGTGTAAACCCACCCCAAGCCGTCCGCGGAGCAAAGAATATACAATAGCATAAACTGTGTTGGTATAATGGTCATTAGCCAAAGAGGATCGCACAGTTGAAAACATGAATTACAAACCAAAGGATGCCCATGAGGTTAAATGAGAAAGCGGTCGCCGCAGGAGCGCCAAGAAATCCAATTCCGTATGGCGCTGGACCCCAAACAAGCAGATAACTCAATATCGCATTGATCGGTGCCACAATAAAGACGACAAGTGTAGGAGGTAACATCAATTGTTGCGCCTGAAGCCAACGCCGAGTCACTTCAAAAATAGCATAACCAGGCAAGCCGAAAGAAAGTACGCGCAGGTAGGAAGATGCAGCCGCTGCCACATCGGGATCTTGCCGTAAGAACAAAAATATCGGTTTGGCGTGCCAAAATATGAGAAGCTCGGGTACGAGTAAGATGACGAGAAGTATGGAAGTACGGAGGGCGTGGAGTGAGGTGCGTTCGGGGTGAGGTGAGGTGAAAGCAGAAGGACATAGCGAGTCGAGCGCAGAAACGAAGCCGATGATGACACTCAACGCGGCACAATTCGCTGTGATGTTGGCGAGACTGGCAGCTGCAAGTTCAGTGGTACCGAGGTGACCGACTGAGAGCACGCTCACGATCAACAGAGAGTATTCCAGTATATGGGTGCCTATAAAGTGATCGGAGACATTTATAAGCTTCAAGTTTTGCTTGTATGGAAAATTGAGACATAATAAGGTGCACTGACCTACGATTGGAATAGCGTAGGTACTGAGAAGTCGCATTTCTTGTAACAATTCATCGAGTCCAAACCGTTCTTCACTCTCGTCAACAGCAGTAGCTATGGCCCGTGCTTCAGGTGGACCCAGCAGCGAGGTGACTTCTGAAGAAGGTGGAACAAAGGTCGAGTGCAAAGACCCAGCGAGCGAGGCAGTGGAGAAGGAGAATGTGCGAGGTCGCATAGCTGAAGAACCCGGAATCTCCATCGAGGCGCCATTGATGGCAGCTATAGAGCCGTGTGCGTTAAGGAAAGCTTGTAATTGAGGCACCTCTATACTTGTCTCGCTGATCACGTCACTCAGGTCATGATAACGATGATCGGGATTGGAAGGAGCTGACGAGCTAGCGATGGAATTGCGAGAAAATCGGTGGTGGCCATTACTTCCATCAGCACTGGGAAGCGAATGATAATCTAAAGTGGAAAAAGATGTGTTGGAATAGATCAGTTCATGGATCGAGACATCTGAGCAGAAGAAAAGGATGGGACGAACAGGTGGCAGGCGACATTCGATCCGACATTTTGCAGAAAGATGTGAAGTTGGAGAGTGATTTTTTTGAGAAGTGTTGTGCTTTCAAAAATGAGAAGCCCAGTGAGCTTCAGTTTCTGTAATTAAGGGTCGAGGTGAAAAATTCGATTAGCTCGAGAAGTGATATAAACAGGCAATAAGTGGCCCTCGACAGCCTCAATCGAGCTTCTTACGTATATGGCTGAACGTCATCGATGGTATTCGGGCTTTACACCTGAGCCAAATGGGTCCCTACTGTGTCTGTACAATTTGTCGATTCACTGTGTTTGAAGATGATTGACCTCATTAGAGGATTTGCCTGAGAAGCTCGCCTTGGTCGATTTGTTCGAAATGAAAGCTGACAAAGGGAAAAAGGCCGAGTGCGGACAAACTCAAGAATGAACCGGCTCAAGTCAAACTGAGCATAGCCAGTAGCCAAATGCACTTGTGTCAACCTCGCGGCTGATATATTGCTACACAAGCGCAGATCGAAAGGAGATGGTCGATCTATACCGTCTGAGTTGAAGCTGAGTCAGATAAGTTGAATTGAAGTTGATACCGTTTCCACTGGATTTCAGACTATTTTCCGTTGAGCTCAACTAATCCCCCGCGCGGCCGCGTCCGCACAGTTTCCCGTCCTTTGGAATTCGGAAACCACAACTTCAAGCCGTCAGAGGTCACAACACCTCGAGAACAACCCAACACCAGTCCATCCGTTCTGGATTTGCATCGCCAACCAACAAGAAGAATTGGACATGAGCAGCTCACGCACGGGCTTGTTTCTTATGCACTGCTTAAACTGCTTTCTGAGCTCAAGGTCTTTGCATGTCGTGAATGCGGGCTTTGTCTATTACCCAACTGACTTCGGATCAAGGGCCTTCGAAGACCCTATGTTCTCATTGAATCAATTGAGACTGAAACTGTGGACTTCACCTTCAGGGGTGCCTCAACTGCGCTGCCCCCAACAACACATAATGTACAAAATGTCAACGCACGAAGGATATCAGGCGTTCAATCTAAGCTTTGCAAAATCGAGTTTGAAGATTACCATCCATCGCAGATAGGGACTTGAAAAAGTCAGATTTCGTCAACTCTGATGAGACAGGAGTGGCTGCCGTAAACACAGCAACCATGTCACGGGCACCAGATAACAGTTTAAGGCTGGAGGCTCAAAAGTTGCAAGGACTGGTTGCAGTAAATATATCTTTATGCTCATTTATGGCTAGATACAAAATTGTCTTCCATTTTCTGAAGTATGTTACCATTTACAGCACAGCTAATATATGTGGTAGCTTGGGCTGCCCAATTAAAACAAGACATCAATCTATGCCAAGCATTGTTCACCTCGAGGCTCGCAGAAAGCTCAGAAGTCATTGGGGGGTAATTGATGTGATAATCTGTGAGCAGGGTGTTTTCTTACCAACAAATTTTAACCGGACAGCAATCATTCTTGAGGTGAATTGTGACTCGCCTTGATCAAATAATATCGCATAAATATCAACTGAAATCTAGTGCATGAATGGAAGGAAGGTCACTCAAAACTCGACCTTTGTATCTCCTACTCCGAGTCCCAATGCCGTGGTAAATCCTGGAGCTCTGTTACCTCAGGCTCGTTCGCCGAGAGGGACTCAAGTTAGCTGTGAACTCAAGTGTAAGCTTGGGTTTGTAAGTCTAGCCGCGGCCTGTTAGTTGTTGACTATTATCAAATAGTTCTGGATATGTTTTGATGTTTTACGTGTGTATGATCATCCTGCGTGATGAATCCTTTCTCTATGCTTATGTCATCCTGCGTGATGAATTTGATATGTTTCTCTTTATTTGATAAATCTCCAACTGTGTGCGCATAACTCTCTCATCTATCTGTTTTCAAATTGTCTTTTCCTATAAAGCCTACTATGAGTTGCACCAAGCTTTGATCTTCATCTCATTCAAAGCTTTTCTCTTTTATTCACAAACTAACTTATTGTCGTGTTTGTGAATCTGTGCATTACTCATAGGTTATGAGCCGTTTTACCGAGTAAACACAGTTTATACACATACGACATTGGGGATTTTTAATTTCTCCTCTATATCCCATCTGGTTTTCCGTCTGCTTATTTCGCATCTATATGGCTTCTTCGCCTATCGACTCCGGATCACCTGCTCAGTTATCCCCTTCATCCGACCTTGATCAACTCTCCGATTCGTCTGATCTCGAATCGTCATCTCAGTCGACAACTCGTCCTTTATCTTCAATCATGGCCACTACGAATACTCAAGAGGATCGTATCAATGACCGCATCAAAATTCCTGAACTTCGCGATGGGAATTTTCCTCACTGGAATAAGCGTCTACACTTCGCTCTTCAAACTAGGGGTTTATCTTCTTTTCTAACTTCTGATGCTCCTCCTACCGATCCTACCGCCCTTCTTCTGTACCGACGACAACAAGGACGAGTTATGGAAATCATGGTTGAGTCACTGGACACGGCGAATGATTCTTTAGTCAAGATTACCGACACGCCTAAGATTGCTTATGAAACTTTATGTAAAGCTCACGGCAGTAGTGGTGGTGTTTTGGCGGCTGCTGCTATTTGTGAAATCGCTACGGCTAGGCTCAAACCTGGTCAATCTCTGTCCGACTTCATTATCCGAATTCGTAATCTGCACAATCAGCTAGCTCAATATTCTGCTGAGGATAAAGAAATTGCTCTGTCCTCTAAGTTATTAGCGATTTTTCTCTTGAACGGTTTAGGGAAAGAATTTGAGTTCATCACTGCTCCTTTCTTCGCCGATTTGTCCAATCTCACTGTTCAAATGGTTATGGATAGATTGGTTATTGAAACGGCTAAGCGTTCGTCATCAGGAGTCACTTCCTCGACTAACGCTTTTACTGCTAAAGTGGTACCACCCGCTCAAACAACAAATCGTGTGGTTCGACGTATTGGTCCTGGTCCTAACGACGTATGCAATTTGGAGAATCATCGCGGCCTTCCTCATACAAATCGGAACTGTCATTTTCAAAACAGTACAGGTCCAAAAGCTAAAGCTAAATCTTCATCTCCAAATCCAAGTTCAAACAAGTTGTCAGAATCTGAAATGGCGAAGCGTTATCTTGAAATTGAGGCTGCTCACTTAGCCAAAAAGAACCCTCCGCCTGCTTCTGCCTTTAATGTAACGACCAGTAATCAATTTAGTGCTTTGGAGCTGGCCGATGACTTTCCAGACAAAGGTTTTGCTGCTCATGCATATTCGGCTCAGACGGATGGTTCTTCTTATGGATCGATTCTTGCGGATACGGCTGCTTCACGTAATATCGTTTCCAACAAACACATGTTCACAACCTTAAAAGCAATCGATTCGGTGAAGATCAATGGTATATCAAATGTTCCTCAGTATGCGACTCATATCGGAACTATCGTCATTCCGGGTTTTTCTGAAGTCACTCATCAACCCGTCGACATCTTGATACCGGAAGTTCTATATGTTCCTACTATGACTGTCAATTTGTTATCGTTGAGCCAATTATGTGCCAATGGGGCCTCCTTCTCGGGTTCTGATGAAAGCATTACGGTTGTTGGTTTACCCAGGTGATGCGTATTTCATATGTCGTAAGACATCCGATGATTGTTTATGGGATTGTGAGGTTCGCATTATGTCTTCAATAAATGCATATTCTGCCTCGGCTGAATGTTGGCATCACCGTTTAGGTCACCTCCATTACGATGCTATCAAAAGATTAGCTGCAAAAGGCGACATTAAAATCTCTGGCTCTGTATCTTCTAATCGTTCACCTTGTAATACATGTCAGAAAGCCAAGATTTCTCAGCTTCCTTTTAAATCTCACTTTCCATCATCATCTGCTGTGCTTAATAGAATACATTCAGATGTAATAGGTCCTTTTCCTCCTTCTCTTGGTGGTGCTAAATACTTAGTCACATTTATAGATGATTGTACTAGATATGCCACCATTTTTCCTATCAAACTCAAGTCAGAAGTATTTCATTGTTTTGTCAATTTTAAGACCAGGGTAGAATTAATTTTTGAATCCAAGATCAAGGTATTTCATAGTGATCGTGGCGGCGAATATCAATCTAAAGAATTTCTATCTTATTTGACCCAGCATGGCATTTCTTTGGAGCAAGGTCCCGCGGAGACTCCTGAGCAGAATTCAATTTCTGAAAGGTATAATCGATCCTTAATAGAACGGGTTAGATGTAACTTACATCATGCTTCATTACCAACAAACATGTGGGCTGAAATAGCGTTGGCAACAACCTTTACTCTCAACCACTCGCCACACTCTTTCTTAAATCATGAAACTCCACTTACCAAATGGAATAGCTTTCTTCCCGGAAAGGGTTATCACGGACCTGATCCGTCGTTTTTAAGAACACTTGGATGTTCTGCTGTGTATCTAGCTCCGCGGATCACAGGTAAACTTGGATTAAAAGGCAGAAACGGGGTGTTAGTTGGATATGAATTAATGGCTAAAGCGTACCACATATGGGACTTACTGGATAGGAAGATCGTGGTCACTAGATCAGTACTATTTAATGAGGCCGAGTTTCCTTTCGTGCATCTTCCCAATATCGTATCTTCTCCTTCTTTTATTATTTTACAAGATCCTGGTAGTGATATTCCTTCTATCTCAACATTATCTTCAACCTCAACAGTTTCAAATCTAAATCACTCCAAGGATTCAAATTCTCTTTTATCCACCTCCGATTCATCTTCTACTTCCACTTTAAACGTTGAAAATGTTTCCAATAGTCCTATTCACAATCCAGTTCTTAAAACATTGTTGCTTCCTACTTTATGCTCTCCTTCATCATCTCAATCTCCTCGTGAACATTCACTTTCGCCAACCCCGATTAAAACTCGACCTATAGGAAATGCAAGTAAGCCACAACGTCTGGGAAATTTCATTGCTCATGCTGGATCAGATATGAATGACGAACCTTCATATAAACAGGCTATGGAAGCATCCGATGCAGACGAATGGCGAAAAGCTATGCAGTTGGAATTTGATTCCTTGACTCAGCATTCTGTTGGTAAACTTGTGGCTAGACCTGAGGGTGCGCGTGTTATAGGAGGTATGTGGGTTTTAAAGAAGAAAAGAGATGAGAAGGGTAACGTGCTGAAATACAAAGCTCGTTGGGTTTGTTTTGGGAATCGTCAAGTTGAGGGAGTTGATTTTCATGATACGTATTCGGCTGTTGGAAAATCAGACATGTTTCGGTTGCTGGTAGCTATAGCATCATATCTCAAGTGTTTGGTAATTCAATTCGATATTATGACAGCTTTTCTTCATGGATTAATGAAGGAATGTGTATACATTCAACAGGTCAAAGGTTTTGTTACGCCTGGTACTGAAGGAATGGTGGTTCAACTCGGTAAATCCCTTTATGGAACTCGTCAAGGAGCTCGTGACTTTAGCGATGATCTTCGTCGAAAATTGAAAGCTTTCGGTTTTATCACATCCAAAGCCGACAATTGTTTATTCATCTTCCGGCGTGCATCATCATTCT